AAGATTTAACATAAAGTACAAGCAATTATATACGAGTGCATGTATTTATCAATTTTATTTTTTTTTTATCTTAAGAGGGTATTATTTACTTTTTAATGATTTAAAGATTAATATGTACTTCATTTCTAAAAAAAAATTCTTAAAATTTTAATTTTAATCAAATCAAATCATCAGGACATTTATTAGAAATTGTCATCTGGCCCTAAGACCGTAAACTGAGAACAGACTAAAGTCAAAATTTTGATTTTTTAATATCTTAAATTTTATTTAATCTATTTGCTTCAAAATAAAAGAAATGTTTCAACATTTTCAATCAGACATATACTGAAATTTTGGTCTGATAATCAAAATTATTTCATGTTTCATTGGTTTGAAATTTTGACTTACGTCTGTTCTCAATATACGGTCTTGGGGTCTGATTCTGACAAAAGTTGTTCCGACTCATATTATATGTTATATTTAAAAACTGTTACTTTTGACTTTATACCACACATAGTTATGGAGCTATTGTAAAAATGATTTTTTTTAGACATGTTGACCTTTGACGAAACCTTAAATGCTTTTACACAATAGTAACATTTAACTTACACTTACACACAGTTACTTCACTTACATAGTTACTTTACTATTAGAATAATAATGAAACTAAATACCATAATACTAGAAGCGATACTTTCAATTAATACTACTCAATGTAATATTTATAAAACATACAAACTATACAAACGAACGAAAGTTCAAACGAATTTAAAATACATTGAAATAACAAAGTTATCCAAGAACCGTTTCATTAACAAAACAGAGAAAAAATGTAAATAAACTATAGGTACTCTGAGCAATGAGCTCACTAAATGATACCCCCCGCCTCCCATATTTGTCCATGTGTTGCTATATATTGTTTTACGGTAATGTGTAAAGAGGAATAACTCGTCCTATCAAATGTTATCCAGAAGCTTCTATATGTGACGTCATAGGTAAACATATAATGGCAATGTCCATGTTTTGCCATGGGAAACTTAAAATACGCGTCGAATAAAATTGTAAAAAAGGAGGTGCACAATGGCAATATGTAATAATGATTCTGTGAAAGTTTCATTAAATTTCACTCTGTATTATAAAAAAGGAGGTGCGGATAAAGATAAAGCGTAACAGACGGACGGACAGACGGACGGACGAACAGAAGAACGGAAATACCGATGACTATATACCCTCCCACTTTTCAAGCGGGGGGTATAAACATGTTACTCACAGAAGTCTGTTTCTGTAATAACACTTTAAAAATACACAGTACTTTAACTTTACAAAACTTTTACAGTATAAAATTGGTCAGACAGAGCCTGTGCAGCTACATCTTGGGAAACCGGTTTTAAGAAGGGCGGAAGCCTAAACTCGGGTGAATAAATACAGGATGTAGAGAGGTACCAAAATGGGTGTTAGAATACGAGGTCCAGAATAAGATAACTAAAAAAAAAAAAACAAGGAACAAAGTGAGAACAATAATCACAGTAATTTAAAATACTTTACAAGACAAATAAACAATACAACACCGTAAATGTGACAAAAACCCTGACTTCTATTTAGGCATAGTGCATGCACAGTACAACACTCATATAAGTATAACTTCTTTTAAGTTTTATCAATTTCTGAATACAAAATCATTTATAGACAGAACTATAGGGAAAGCAATAACAATATTCGTTCGTCTTCTTCTTTTGGGACAACATACTTGTAACAATAATACGAGAGGTTAACGAAGTTAAAAATATTTTCCCCCTAAATATTATTTTTTTGTTCTCAACTAGCTTTTTATACCCCCGCTTGAGAGTTGGAGTGTATAAAGTAATCGGTATTTCCGTCCGTCTGTACGTTCGTCCGTCTGTTACGCTTTTGGGTTTCCATCTCTTATCCGCAACTCCTCTTATACTACTGAGTGAAATTTAATTAAACTTTCACATAATCTTTATTACATATTGTCATTGTGCACCTCCTATTTTACTTTTTTATTCGACGTGTATTTTAGGTTTCTCATAGCAAAACATAGACATTGCCATTATATTCTATATTTATATCCTATGACGTCACATATAGAAGCTTCTGGATAACATTTGATAGGACGAGTTATTCCTCTTTACACATTACCGTAAAACAATAGCAAAACATGGACATTTGGGAGGCGGGGGGGGGGGGTATCATTTAGTGAGGTCATTGCTCACAGTACCTCTAGTTTTATATGGTTTGACATATCCCAGGGGATATCACTCATGCTTAGATTAAAATTTAGGTCAGATTGTGCTTCCTTTTCTGCAGAGGAATATGCATTACAAATTTTGTTTACTATAGTCCAATCCACACTTTTCAAAAGTTATGTCCCTTGGCCGCCATCTTAGGGGACAAACCCATACAAACCACACAGTAGCCTTTGTATTTTTCAGGTTTGTAACTTTGTCATTTGACCTTTAAAAAGTTCTGCGTTTTGTGTACTGATTGCCCCAAAATGGGGCTACCCACACATTGAAAGAAAAAAATTAAACACAATGGATTTTTCACAGCACACCCAAATATTTGGTAGCATAAAGAAGAAAAATGACGTTTCTTTCCCTTTAGACCTTTCGGTTGACCCCGCAAAGGGAAACAACTTTTGCAAAGTGTGGATTGAACTATTTAAAGTGTACTTTATAATGATACATGTATAGAGGAATAATTATGTTTGGTGTCAGTAAAATCCTGGGTTTTTTTCTGCTTGAAAAGTGAAAAAATTGGACGACAGCTACTCAACTAAGTTTCTAATTGTAATGTTTTCTGGTTTTGTTTCAATAAGAACTTAATCTTTCATTTATCCATTACATTTGTCTGTTTCTTCTTGTTTCTATTTATAGCTTATTATTGTTTATTATTTATGTAGATGAAATCAGCAAAACAATTGGTGATATAAGGAATGACGTCAAACAATCTCAATACGACCAGTCGAAGCTGTCCTCCACTGTGTCGTCTCTGGAGGTGTTCCGAATGAATGTTACCGGAAATAAATGCGGTAGATTCTCTAATTTGAAAAAAAAAATATATGCCATATAACTAAATAAAGGTACATGTACCTTAATGACAGAAAAAAATGATAACTTTTAATTCAACTTTATATGATATTTTTTTTTCTGTGTTCTTCTTTTTTTCATTAATGCCATAATAAATAATTGTTAATTTTCTGTGTTGCAACTCCAAGTAAAATAACATTCACACTATTCTTAACTTGTAGACTTGTCTCGGAGGGTAGCTTTCACTGCTGGAGTGACGTCTAGTAGCACTTCATGGAACAGTGGTACCTTAGTTTACAATAAAGTCATTAACAACGTTGGAGGAGGATACAACCCGAACAACGGTATCTTCACCGCACCAGTGGAGAGGAATTATGTGTTCTGCGTCACCATTTAAAGTCACGGTTCAAATGAGACTGACATAGATATTGTCTTGAACGGATCTAGTAAGGTTCGAGCAGTAGCTTTCACCTATAGCTCAAACGAAAGATATGTTGTGGGTACAAGCCTTGTAACATTACAACTACAGAAGAGGGACACAGTTTGGGTAAGATATTACAGTGGTATAAGTTATTACACACACACTGACGGGCCTACCACCACGTTCTCAGGATTCCTTCTTTGAATCTTTCAATGTCTCTCTATAATATGGAAAATAAAACATAACTGTATTAGTTTTCAAATGTAGTTTTGTTCTTTTCATTCATTTCATGGATTACATCATGTCTATTTATTTCATTTTCATTTAATCATTATTTGATTTTATAAAATTTGACTTAACTATTTAAGGATGTACAACACACCTACCCTAAAAAATTCCTGTCGTTTAATTTTTGTTTTTTTTGTATATTTAGTACATGACTATATCTACTGCACGTATCCACATTTTGGACAAAATCGTTCGAATGGTTTTTGGACAGGAACTTCCAAAAGTTACCCCCCTTTAGTTGTTTACAAGGAAAGAAAATTTTTAATCAATGAACTGCTTAAACCTTGATTTTCAAAAAAGCCAGGTTAGATATAAATGTTAAATTTCATTGGCTTATTCTTTTAACCATTTAACACAAAAACATAGTCATCTTTTTGATATACATATCATCAAAACAATTTTTAAAGACCTTAAACTGAAAAACTATGAATTATCTAAGCCTTGAAAATTGTGTATTTTTCAAATTCAAAATTTTTTTGTGAAAAAACCTGTCGTGTAATTTTTGTTAAAAAAATTTGGTTAGGTAGCTGGTAGTAAAAATAATCATCATAATTTTTTGTATAATTTTTGTACGACCAGTTTTGATTTTATAGCGGAACATTACCCCCTCCCCCTTTCTCAATAAATCACGTTCCCATGCGTCTTTCAGACGGGGGTCGATCACTTTGTTGTATGAATCCACAAATACACATTAAAAAAATTAAATTGGAATATTGCTTTTCCTTCAAAAATATATTAACTTACAAATTTAAAGTTCTCATACGTAAAGCGTATCTAAATGTAGATTTTTAGGCAATTTTTAAATACCCCTATCACCCCCACCCCTTCCTTTTTTGCGTCGCAGATCATTAGCGTTTGACGAAATGTCGTTTACAGTGCACATATACTGGTATTTCGTCATTTGAATCCCGGAGGTATGCATTAAATTAGTTTTTAAATTCATGAATGCAGAATAAATATTGACTACTTTTTTTTATATGTATCAGGAAAAAAATTACTGAAGGATTTTAGTGTTTAGTCCATATAATATATTATGTATGCGTTATGCATTCCATATCACATGAAACCTGAATACTAATTCAGGTTTTGTTGAACTTGAATATGTTGAGTTTTGATTTTATTTCTTTAATTTTATTTATTAAAAAAATGGTGTATATTCAACTCTCCTGTGATATAAATGGAATAATTGTAGTTTCTTTCATATCATTATTTCGAACGAGACAGTATTTGGCCGTGGGGATACATCGACATTTGCATAGATGTACACCCCCTCATGATACTGTACGCATTCTTTCAATGTCGTCGCTTCTATTTTAATAAAGTTAATATGAAAATTCCGTATTCGTCCACATTAACTTCAAAAAATCAAACATTAAACTCTTCATCTATTTCAATTTATATCAAATCGCACATTGATATTTTTAAAAATCTTATAGGCTACGTTTTATTTTGATTCGAGGAAATGCGAACCGACATTGCATTGTTGGCAGTGACAGAAAGTCAAACGATTTGCTGCAATAGCCGATATTCATAAATGCAGATAATTTCCAATTCTTTTCAATTCTATACTTACATTGTGTATATGAGGTCTCTATAGAGATTCAATTCTCGGTTTTATCAGGTCTTGCTGTAAATGTATTTCTGTGGAAAACCGTGAATAAAGGGAGGAAAATAAACATCTCCTACATTTTCAGAGTTGTTCCTCTTTGATCAGTAAGGGTCTGAGAGCAACATCGATTTTACATTGTAAAAAGTTTTTTGTTTGTTTATTGTTGTAAAATAAAGCTTGAAATTGAAATTTTTTCATGCAACAATTTTCATTTTATGTCTCTACGTATGATTCAATGTTCTTTAAAGTTTTAACAAACGGTATTTAAAAAGTTGACATTTAACTTAATTAAATGAAGTAAAACTTGCATATTTTAAAAAAATCAAATTTCTTTTAATTTAGCCTTAGTTACCAATGTTTATAAGCATGATTTGAAATTAGAAGTGATTTACGGTGTTTTCTGTGAAAGGAAACACTTCATACACTATGCATTATGAAACAATGGAAGTAATTAGAAGAAAGTAAAGTCCAAATAAGTGTAAAATTCATGCAATTTTCTTTAAAAGCCAGGATACCTATGATTTTTATTCCTAAAATGTATTTCTTGATCAATTATCAATTAAAAAATATGCAGTAGGTAGTTCAAATCGCATTTCCTGAAAAAATATTTGAGATTTACTCATTTTCCCTATATAATATGATTAAATTTAAGGATGAAGTTTAAAGAAACACCTGGGTAAATACATTTTAATTTGAGAATTTAGAGACATATTTTGTGATCATTTTCAATTACTCAATGCCTGATTTTCAGAACCTGAGGATCGGATAACCTTAAAAAGTAGAAGTTATGGTTGAGAAATGTGCACATCATTCTAATCTTATTAACCATTGCAGCACCGGTTACTGGTATGTGCCGATGGACAATAATCTTGTATTATGGTCGATATTTATTGTCGGTGGTGTCGATGTACCGATGGAAGACATTACCCCGGTATGTCTAGTGAGGGTCGGTACTATGTCGGGGTTGTTCCCATTTCGTTTGTAAAGTTTAACATTCCCATTTCGCCTTAGTAAGCTCTCAGGTAAATTAAGGCGAAATGGGAACTTGAATAAACAATTAATTAAGTCTAAAATATAAATAATGATGATGTAGAAATGCTGAGATATAGTAACAGTTTAACAAATATTGGATGTGGCAAATAAAATCTGTAGATCACCCAAGTTCTTTATAATCTAGACTAAATTTTTATTTCTACTCAGTAATAATATTTACAAAAAAGAGATTTTCAAATATTCCAAATGTTTTTTTTTCTTCATTTTTCATTTTTGAATCCAGTGTTTTTTTTATTTGTGTAATTAACTTCTCATACAATAGTATTATAAGAAAATTCCCATTTCTCCTTAGTACTTTTTAGTCTTTTCTTACCTATATTTCACAGTTAAGGCGAAATGGGAACACACCCTATGAATGTCACTGACGACAATGTGCGCAGAACGTTACAATTTGTCACATGACCTGATATATTCAAACAATTAGCAAATTAAAGTTTCAGAATTGTTTTTATGCCCCCGGATCAAAAGTTCCCGGGGGTATATTGTTTTTGTCCTATCTGTTTGTCTGTCAACTTTAACCTAGCCCATAACTTTTGACTGGGTGTGACTACGGATTTCATATTTCAAAGGTGTATTCCTTGAGACAAGACCTTTCTTTGGGTACCACAAAATTTGACCTCTTGACCTTGACCTTGGAGTTTGACATACTTTTACACCAAAATTCCCAATTTAACCTTGACCATAACTTTGAACGGTAAGAGCTAGGGTTTTCGTACTTCACAAATGTTATTCTTGTAACAAGACCTTTCATTGGATACCAACAACTTTGGCCTTTTAACCCTGACCTTGGAGATTGGCCTACTTTTAAAGAATTTAACCCTGGCCATAACTTTTGAACGGTAAGAGCTAGGCTTTCATTCTTCACATATGTAATCCTTGTAGCAATACCTTTCATTGGATACCAACAACTTTGATCCTTTGACCTTGGAGTTTGAACTACTTTTTAAAAGCTTTAACCTTGGCTTAACTTTTGAACGGTAAGGGCTAAGACTTTCATACTTCACATATGCATTTTTTTACAAGGCCTTTCACTGGATACCACTAACTTTGACCTTCTGACCTTGGAGATTGAACTACTTTAAAAAACTTTAACCTTGGCCATAACTTTTGAACTGTTAGGGCTAGGGCTTTTTTTGTACTTCACAGATGTAATCCTTGTGAAAAGACCTTTCATTGGATACCAACAACCTAAACCCTTTGATCTTGACCCTGGAGTTTGACCTACTTTTAAAAAAAGCTTTAACCTTGGCAAATATTTTTGAACGGTTAGGACTATGGCTTTCATACTTCCCACATATGATCTTTGTGACAAGACTTTTCATTAGAAACTAACAACCTTGACCTGTTGACCTTGACCCATGGGTTTGACCTGCCTCTTAAAAGCATTAACCTTGGCAGAAACTTTTGAACAGGTGGTGCTAGGGTTTCACATTTGCATTTCTTCTGTGAAAGCCTTACTTTGGGTATCATGTTTGATTTGCATTTGAGAAAATTTAATTTCTCTTGCTTACAGATTATAAGAATATTTTCAATAAAATCTTTATTGTGCAGAAAATAACAGTAAAAATAAAATGTAAATAAAGTAACACAAACTCATGGAAAATGAGGCGTATATAATGTAAACAATGGCACAGAATATTGTAACATGAATTAATTGGCTTCCATTCACTATATTAACCACTAATTATGGCATTTTTATAATTACTGAATCTGTCTCTGTTCACCGAGAATATAAGAATCACATGTAAAGACATTCAAAGTGTTTAAACTATGACAAAAATAAACTTATAATTCATAACCACATATGTCAAAAGATAAATTCTCTAACAATATCAAAAAATGCACCAAATTTGAACTTTTCCTATTAATCCTTTATTTTCAAAATTAATATCCTTCTACTCCATAAAACTCAAATATCTCTTTTGAGTCTGAAGTTACTGTAAACCAACTTTTATTCGCGACGACTTTATTTCACGATTTACAAGATGTAAACTAGTTTGCGATGATTAATTTTCGCGATTAAGCCTTTTTGTATCTGTTGTTAATAGACACATACACTTTAAGGACCGTTTTGCAGCGAGAAATATTCGCAATGACGAGGTTCTCGCGTTTCGCGAAAATTTCTCGCACGTGAATAAAAGCTGGTTTACAGTATTTGGGGGGGGGGAGGGGGATAAATCAACAAAATTTCTTAATACTAAAATCAAAAAACAAATAAGTAATAATTAGAATTAATAACAATACTTCTTACAATTAATTTTGTAAAATGATGCACATTTAATGAAACACCTACATACAATTCTATGACAGTGAGATATGGTAACAAAATGTACAGTTAACAGGAGATCATTTGACATTGAAATAAAGTGCCACGCCACAGCATGATACGCCCGTCAAAAAATTACAATTAACTTAAACAGTTTAGAGTGCAAGAAAATCATGTAAACCTTGATTCTAAAATTTCCATGATTTTTTCTATTCCTTAAAATATTTGTTTATCCATCGATATCCCCTGTGGTGTAGGCATTAATTATAACAAATTACATCATTGATAGATTTCTATACTAGTTGTATTAGACCTTAATTGTCAAAGATTTTCTCATCATATTAAACAATATCAAATTAGTCTTAACAACTTAATTTAAACCAAATTAATTTTGAAAATAAAAGGCTAGGCCATCAAATGACATATGCTATTTAAACTGACCAGCAGTTCTTCTGTCTAATTCTCAAAGGATACAGATAAGAAGATGCTAGCTAGCCTTCCTAAATTGAACTCATTAATTAATCTTTGACTGGATGCTTGTCTTCTCATTACTATAGATGAATGAATCTGCACTATCTACCATAAAATATTTTTAAAACATATAAAATACTCAATGATTTTTTTTTTCAACATTTAATGTCAGAAAGGTTTAAATATGCAATTTCTATGGAAAATGGACATGCTGATTCCACCCCTATGAAATTAGTTTTTTAAATTAATAATATTATATAATATTAGATTAGTTTATAATGCAATATCAAATTAGTGTTAATTACTTTTCATCAAAATCATTTTAAAACTTAGGCTAGCCAACAAGAGCTATTTTTAATCCAACAGGCTTACCCATCTGCCCAATTCCCAAAGGGACATAGATAAACCGATGGTCTCCAGTTTGCTCCTCACACTAAACTCATTAATTTCTCTCTAATTTGACATGCAATTTTCTGTTATCAAAACTCTTGACCATTGCTTGATAATTACACTCATGGGAGACATGGGATTTCTCTTAACATACATAATATCTGTTATAGATTGCTGTCAAGTATATGCAAAAAAAATAAGTATTTTCTTGATTTAACACTTTTTTAATAAAGATACAACTAAAATTTTGCATTTTTTAGGATTATGAAATTCAAAATTTAAAAGACTTTGCTGTTTTTAAAAAAATTTCACTTAAATTAAAGGTCACAGTGACCTTGAAATAGGTCCGACACACCTTCTACCCAAGATGTATACATTTGCCAAGTTTGATAGTTCTAGGTCTAATAGTTTACTAGTTATGAGCCGGACAGGATTTTTCCATATTTGGCCATAGCATCTTAATTAAAGGTCAGAGCGACCTACTTTTTGTGCGCGACACACCGTCTACCCAAGAAGTATCAGTTGACAAAGTTTGATAATCCTAGGCCTATTAGTATTGAAGTTATGAGCCGGACAGGAATCTACACTACAGAGGATGGACAGACGGACGGACGGACGGACACGAAGCCTATAACATAATACGTCCCGTCTTAAGACGGGCGTATAAAAAGTAGTACTTTCAAAGAATTTTTCAACACTGTTGCTATATGCCTCTTTATTGAACTTTCATAGTTTCTGTGAAACTCTTTACAAGGAATAAACAAAAACTAACTTCATCATCTGAATAATGAAGACATGTTTTAACATGGTTTATCTGATAATGAAACACAGTTGAGCATTGGTATCTCGAACTCTGATATCTTTAATACCCTGGATACATGTACTACAAAGTGATTTGGAAGTTTCAACCCCTTTACATTCTTTAAGTATTTAGTCTTGATATCTCAATTTTTTTTCTCAGTCTCATATAGTGCAACATAACAAGGATAAATTTTACAGTATTCTTGAGAAGAAATATAAATACGACCGAATGATTCCATATAAATATCACTAATCATTGCTATGAAGACGACGGAAAACAATTTTTAAAGAAAAAAGCCTTTGGCTCAGGTGAGCTAAAAAGAGAAAAAGAAATATATTGCTCTTCAGATTTTTTTGCACAATTCCCTTTCGCCAATTGCCGGTTCAAGTAATTTACAGTTATCGATAAGTGTAATAATTCTAATGTTCTAGAAACAGAAAGAGTTTGTAAAAAAAAATTTTAAAATATGTTTGTGAAACACGTATGCCCCCGTATAGCGGCAAAGGTTGAAGCTTCACAAATTCCAAAGGTCAAGTGTAGTGTGGTAATATTTTGTAAAAGTTAATCAATCTCCAAGGTACATGTCATGAGGTCAATTTGGTGGTACCCCAAACAAAATCTTGTCACAAGGAATGCATAAGTAAAATATGAAAGCCATACCCCATCCATTGAAAATGGAGAATATTAGCAAGGTTAAAGTTTTTGTAGACAGACAGATAGATGGACAGGGCAAAAACTAAATGAATATTACAATCAAAGCAAAAAAGATGTGTTTGTGAAACACTGATGCCCTGAATGGCAGCTTACGATGAGGGTTAAAATTTCTCAATTGCAAGTTAAACTCCAAGGTCAAAAAGTCAAAATTGTTGGTACCCAATGGAAGGTCTTCTCCCAAGGAAAACATCTGTGAAATATAAAAGCCCTGGTACTAATGGTTCAAAAGCTGTGGTCAAGGTTAAAGTTTTATTAAAAGTGGACCAATCTCTAAGGTCAAAATGTCAATATTTTATGCCCAATGAAAAATCTTGTCATAGTGAATATACATGCGAAGTATAAAAGTCCTAGCACCAATTATTCAAAAGTTATGGCTGTGGTTAAAGTTCAGATAGTTTTGGTAATTTAAGTGGGTCAAATTCCAATGTCAAGGTCAGAAGGTTAAATTTTTTGATACCAAAAGAAATGTCTTATCACAAAGAATACATTTGTGAAATATGAAAGCCATAGCTCCATCCACTTAAAAGTCATGGACTAGGTTAAAGTTTTGCAGACAAATAGACAGACAGATGGACAGACAGGGCAAAAACTTTATACCCCTAGAATCTTAGATTACAGGGGCATAAAAATGTATCCATGTGCATTTTATAGTGAAAAAAAAGTGTCATTCTATGAAAACATTGGCATATTTAATATTTTTAATAATATACTCACACTTTGAGCTTATCTATAATTGTAGAAATTTTAAGGCAGGAGTGACATTTTGAAATAGTTGAACAAATTATTCTTCATTTAAAACAGGTGCAACACTTGAATTGAAATAAGATCAGTGTGTCCAGTGCTGGTAAATCTACATACATGATTGGTTGCAATCATCTCTACAAATACTACAGAAGATGCAGCACTTTTGAAATATTTTTGCACACAAACAGACGTGCATTAACCTAACGTGAGTAATCCAATATCAAATATTTTAGAATTAAGTTTATTGCAGTCAAAATGACCCCAAAAATTTACTCTCCTTTAAAAGCTTTCATTCCAAATTAAAATATGCACATTACACACATGTAATTGTTTACAAAAAATAATTCAAAATTTGAAAGAAAAAAAATCCCAAAAGCAACATGTTTCGAAAACTGCATCTACATGTACCTTCTCTGTGTATATACCTTCAACTTGATATGATTGCAGTGTTACTGTGTAGATGAAGCAGCCTGGTCATCATAGGAGTACTGGTAGACATGTACGTAGTGGTCACTCCCGGTTATAAACAGCTGTTTAGAGGCTCCGCAGACCACTGACCAGGGCTTGGTAATGGTGGGAGCCGTGTTCCACTCCTGCTGCAGCTGACCTTCACTGTTCAATAGAAGGAGACGGTTGTGTGTGTAGTCCAGAGCAAAAATCTCCCCCGTGTTATTGAAACAGGCACCACCTGGATACCAGGGACTGCCACGATCTCCAGTGAACATACCTAAAATTACATAATGATAACTTTTCTTATTATAACAACAGTGTAGACTTTACTCATTCCCAGGTACATTTAAGGTGGCATATTTTACTCATTTTGTTAGTCAAATCTTACTATCATATTTAAGATGATGTTCTCATACTACTGCTACTTTTAGTTTGTTCATTTTCTGAATTTTATCTCTAAGTCAAATCTACCCTTGTTATAACAGTTTTACCAGTAACTGAGTAGAATACTGTTACTATATTTACCTGTGACCTTGCCCTCGCTATCTCCAATCACCACTGCCTTCAAATCCCAATCAGTCATCACTATATTCTTGCCATTACCATTGGATCTAACAGAGAAGATGTTGGACATTTTTTTCTGCTTTGGAAGCTCAAAGGAGAGCCGACTTTTCTTGGTGAAGTTCTGTTTTTCCTTGTCCACATGATAAATCCTGAGATGGTTCCCACAGGAGACCACAAAATGGCTGTGGGGGTACCAGGACAGGGGGCGGGGGATGGGATCCTCCTGGAATTTGATGAATTTCTCAAATTCCCCATTCTGCTCCTTGATGACAACAGTGGTCTCAGATGTCCAGACTAACACTCCAGATACAAAGACAACACTGGTCGGATGCTTGGCATCAAAGGCTTTGATAAAGTGTCCCTCAATGGAGAACATCTTTATCTTGTTGTTACTGCTGTCAGAAACAACTAGTTTATTGTTTGATACTGGGTGTACTGATGTAAGAAAGGGAACTTCATTATCATCAGAACATTTTGTATCTAGTCTCCATTTTGGAGTTATAGACACAGTTGAATTAACAGGCTTTGCTTGTGCAGGCTTTGTCTTCTTGCCTTTAGAATCCTCGACTGCAGGTTTGGGTTTTGCCTTTTCCTTAGATGTTTTGGTCTGAGCCTTTACAGGTTTGCTTGCTTTTTGTGGCATTCCATCAGCAACTTTATCTTTCTTTGAAATATTTGTTAGTGAAGTCAGACTTGCAGAATTCATCATATAACCTGCACTAGGAAAGTAGCCTGGAATCTGGTATGAGGGATACAGAGAAGGATTCATGTATACCCCTGGCATTCCTGTATAATCTGGAATTTGTCCATACATAGATGTGTCATAGAAATCTGTGTCATATCTACCAGACATCATTCCATCTGCCATCTGGCCTTGTTGTGAGATGTTTTCCATGGAGAGAGCTGCATTCTTCTTCTTTCGTGCACGTTTCTTTTTGGGGGGAGTGGTTTTGGGCTTGGCCCCCATATCTTCATAATTCTCAGAATTAACTGTGCTCCCACTCTCACTTTGTGTGTCCACAGACCTCACTGTGTCCATTACACCCTCCCTTATAAAACCATCAAGATTCTCATCTGTAATTGGAATGTTGCTTAATTCTTCAAGGGAAAGCTTGCTCTCATTTGTAAACCATTCTGGATGCCCTACTTTTTCACACAATTCCCTGTCCCAACGCAAATTCTTCATGGTTGCAATACATGGCATGTCCTCTGTCCAATCATGGCACTTTTCATAATTAGATACCTTGAAGAGTGGCTTTAGTTTGTATTCAGTCTTCAGCAATGGATCTAACTCAACAGAAGGAGGTGTAAACCAAGACAGAGATTCTGGGATGACTACTGTATTTAGGATCCCCTTAAGCCTACTGTATATTATCTTCTCCAAAGCAGGAAATTCCTCACTATTGCACAAAGGATACAGGTGCCCACAGATAGATTTGGCCTCTTTTAAATGATAAAGCAGTTCCTTTGCTGAAATTTCTCTCTTCTGACCTTTGTCTTTCAGATATTTAAAGTTTTCATGCACACTTGTAATAGCTTCTCTCTCTTGCTGTCGTAAGTCCTGAATTATCTTTTCTATAGCTGATTTGATTTTTTCAATCTCAGCTTCTTCTGTCTGCTCTGCAGCAATTATTTCAGATTCAAAATCTTCTGACTGTATCCTTTGAATCTGATCATCAACGCCTTTCAGTAACAGATCTAATTTTCTCTTTTGTTTCTCAAATGCTTCTTGGATTGAGATGCAAGGGTGGTTCTGGTGATCTAGCAGAATGCAGTCAGTGCAAACCTTCACTTCACAACCCTTACAGTAATATCGGAGTCCTTCTCCAGGATGTCTGCTACAGTTGCAATGTTCCGTCTGCTCTCTACAATGTTTATCCAGTTCTTCTTCTGAAGCTCCCTCTAAGGATATCACCTCATGATTGAGTGTAAATTTGGTAAATCTGTGACCATTCCAGCAGTCCTGGCACAGATAGTCCTTGCATTCAACACAAAAGCCTTTCGCCTCTGCCTCCTTCTCCATAAGCTTGCAAACCTCACAGAGTCTGCTTCCAGGTGTTTTCCTCTTCTCTACTAGGGATGCCAGGACTGTGTTTTTTGGCAATAGACTTGTATCAACAGTACAAAGACCAGTTTCAGTGAAGCAGACTGGACACCTTACTTTCTGTTCCTCCACTGTAACACAGTGAGCACAGAGGGAGTGTAGACAATCCAGAAGACAGGGATCAGTGAGAGTGTCCTCACACACAGGGCAGACCAAGTCAGTATACATCGTGCTGGACTTCATCTGCTTTAGTCTCTTCAGACGATCCTCAACAGTAAGAGCTTCCTTCTTTGTTTTCTTAGAAAGTCTCCCCTCTTTGGCATCTGACATTCCACTCTCCAAATCATGCTTAAGCTCTGGTTCAACACACTGGACTACAAAAGGCTTATCAGATATATTAGAAGTAGTTTGGTTAGAATCAGTTACAGTATTTCCTCTTTCTATTTTAGTTTCAGCAATTTTTTCATCTTCTGAAACAAGCTTCGTATCACTGGACTCGTCTAAAGCTCCATTACCAAGTTCAGAACATTTCTCAGTATCTGGTATGTCTCCAGACTTGCTGGCATCTAACCTTGCTGCTGTTTGTGAGCCTCCATTGTCCATACTTTCAGGTGATGTAGAATTCTCTGACACTTCACACAGTCCTGGTTTGTCCTTGATGAGGTCAGAGTTTGGAATGTTAGGTACAGAGTTGACATCCAGGGATTGTAAATCACCTGTAGATGACTGAAATTCCTTAACGTCCTCTCCAACATCAGACATCATGGAATTTCTACCAAAAAAATTTTTTGTAAGATACTACAAATATATAATCTACAAGAAGAAATGCAAGCTCAATTAATACAATAATGGATGTAAGGACTAAAGAAGAATGTGGATTATCTTTGGAATTGGAGCACTGCAATACAATGGATTTTTTCCTGTTTACCGGTATCACAATTTTTGCAAAAATATGCCATATGCCAAAATACTGTTCTTTATTATTGAGGTAGTCCTACTTGCACACAACCCCAGAGTTTTAATAGAGATATATGATTTTTTACAGTCAATCAATCAATAAAAATTTGATAAAATTGCATAATGTGTGTTATTCATGCTAAAAATTTTTCACTCATGCAGAGAAGTATACCGGTGAAAATTTAACCTTCACCAAAAATTATATGGTATTTATGTGCCAACGCCTGGTGTGACACGGGACCTCTGTTTTTAAGGTCTCATCCGAAGGACCCACAACTTTTACTTCAATACAGAGCGCATTTGAAACAGTTGCTACCCATATATTTATTTCTCACGGCCTAACTCTTGACCCCTTTCAATGATAGTGCACTAAAACACACAAAGAAAGAGAAAATTTTATCATTACCAATTACATGGTATTTAGGTGCTCGAAATGTGGACTTAATTCTTAATAAAAACAAATTTTAAAAAATATAAATGATGTATTTATTTCTGCTAATTGGCCCCTTAAAGATAGCTCACAAAAACCCTCATAAATTCAAACTATAATTTTACCCTAGAATATGATCTTCTCCAGACTTGCTGTCATCTAACCTTGCTGTCTGTGAGCCTCCATTGTCCAGACTTTCAGGTGATATAGAATTCTCTGACGCGTCACACAGTCCTGTTCCTTCCTTGATGAGGTCAGAGTGTGGAATGTTAGTAACAGAGTTGACGTCCAGGGATTGTAAATCACCTGTAGACAACTGAAATTCCTTTATGTCCTCTCCAGCATCAGACATAATGGAATTTCTAATTTAAAAAAAAAATGCAACTGTTATCAAGAATTTTATCAACTGGATCAAATAAGAAAGCCAAAAAGGCAATCCAAATTATAATCAAATTGACTGCAAAAATAATGTAGAGGATATTTTGCTATAGAGTGTTCATGTCTTTAGGACCAAAATCAACTAAGTGACTCTATAATCCTTGCAATGCCACAGGTCCTGAGTCAAGATGTTGCCACGGGACCCCTGGTCAATTTCATTCAATGAACTGACTGTTGCAACTTCTTTTGGAAAAAAATTGAATTGTTTTCTTACCTCTCAACCAATCAAATTCAGGCATTCTTTAATAAACAACTTGTAAAATGTGCATTAAAGGTGTCAACTGAATCCTTTCTGTTTACATTATATTACTAGTAGTGAATTAATACTTTGATTTGATTTGTGCTGCTCAAAAGCAAGCCTTTAAATATCAGATGAATTTTGCCAAGAGGTCTCACAGCTATTTGTTCACTGAGGCTGGACCTCTGGCATTGCAGGGAAGGAGACTCTAACGCACATGCTCCACTGCTCCATGCAGTTGATAATTTTCTTTGTAAAGCCATCATGTATAAATTGTGTAATGTGAATATATTACCTTTGACCCCTCCCTTTCTAAAACTGAGAAACGCAGACTTCTAAATTGGTTATAACGATCATAGAATTTGCAAAATGCTGACGTAAAGGACATATGCAAGTTACTATACTATACACGTGTATCTGAATCAAATTGAAAAGACACCCCCCCCCCCCCTCCGAACAAGATTATTTATTTTCCTGCTCTCGCAAACACTCCTATAAAATATTATACAGATTTATATAATATATTATTTAGATTTATTGAGAAATATAATAAAACAACAACAACAACAAAACTGTAGATAATTTGACGTTAATCTGATAAAACATTGACATTTGAATAATATACCGGTACATGATCTCTGTATGTTTTCGTGTGTCAATGATTTCGAATGTTTTGGGAACATTCCAAATAAATAACAGTGTCAAGTAACAGCATAAAAAGAAATGATTACCAAGCTGATGAAAGCTGAACTGCGTCAAAAGAGTCACAACTTGGAAACTAAAGTGAAAGTAAACAGACATCACACGTAGAAGTTGCGAAAACGCATTTTTGAAAACAGGCAACACGGCGCAACGCCAGCTGTCACAGTTTTAAATAGTTGTGGAAAATTATTGTCCCCCGTAAAAACTAACACAAAGAGCAGTGGTTAATTATTACTTTGGGTTCATCCATTGTCTGTCTGTCTGTTTGTGACACTTTTGTTTCCCCATCCGTTTTGAGGTTTAAAAGTAAAAAAAAAAAATCAAATAATTTTACTACCAAAAAGTCAAGATCAGATATATATTGCACAAAATGATTTCTAATGAAAATTTAAGGGTGAAAATAATGTTTTTAATGTGATGTATCTCAAAAATCCACAAACAATAAAAAATCTTCAAACAGGTGACAATTAAACCCCTGAAATTGTAGACACTTTCAAGATCAGGTGCCCATGAGGAGTAAGCATTCCCTGTTCACCACTGACCAGTCTCGCCTGTCATGAGCCCTATATATTGATCAAGATGGAGCATTCCATCATGAAATTTCGCAAAAATAAAGGTTTAGTAAATTCTATAAAACAATTACAACCCAGTTTTAAGTTATATTTGCTAATAAGGTCATTATAATGACCACATAATTTATGAAATGCTGACTTCAAACAAGATTGCTGAAATCCCTGTAGCATCGACTTATTTGCTAGTATTCTGCCTCAGTTTAAAACTGATCATAGCCATTTTCTTAATTTTCCTCCCCAAGTCAAGTGCATGAAATATTTTAAGTGTCTACATCTTCTTATGTACTGTAGCTAAACAACATGTACATCCCTGTCTGACTCTAGTGGTTTATTCAGCTATATGATAATTTGCTTCAACTTTTATGCCTTGAATTCACAAAAAATGAAAATACATTTATAATATATCAATAAAAGTTTTATTCATAAATGATTTATATAAATATTTTGAATGCATTCTATATTTCAACTGCACATAGAGGACAATATATTTCTGGTTTTATCACTAACAGCAAACTCTAAAAGCATGTCTCGTTCCAATGAATGCATTTCTCCGGGAATGATCAGAGAGTGCAGGGGGTCACCAATGTCAATAGAGGTCATTTCCTTTAAGGTGGCACTCACAATCTTCTGGGAATCAGAACCAATACGAGAAAGTCCAACACACACTGTATCCTCTGTAAAAGCTAAAAACAAAATTGGATATTTTTTATTTCTCAAATTTAGTCAAAACAGTTACAGTTTATTTTATTAATTTTTTTTCTCCATAAATTGCTTTAAATTACATAAAGTTTATTCCATGAGTTGCATCCTATTCATGCCTTACAGAACACAAAATTTGGATTACCTAAACATTACATTTTAATTTGTTAGAAAAAAAAATAAATTTACTTAATAAAATATTTATTGCTGTATTAAAGAGTTTTTAATGAGAGAAACAGCTCTTTGTGAAACATTGATATCTAATTATGTTTACTGTAGTTTCTTATTTTTCGCGAATACTTTTTATCGCGAATGGGCTCTTCAACAGCAAATCGCGAGAATAAGAAATCGCGAATGGACGGTTGATCACACGTTTTAACATAGATTTCAGCACCATAAAAATAAAGGCAAGGAATTTAATTTCGCATGTGATGCTTCTCGCGAAATTACGCGATAATTAATTCCACGCGTATATTTAGGAATTTACAGTATAGCTGTAAGTAGCTGAGATTTTTGTAGCTTAGATTCTACCAAGTGATACAGGTCTCAGTAGCACATTGTTATTTATTGATGTTTGTAGCTGAGATGTTTGTAGATGAGATGTTTGTAGCTGAGATGTTTGTAGATGAGATATTTGTAGATGAGATATTTGTAGATGAGATGTTTGTAGTTGAGATATTTGTAGATGAGATATTTGTAGATGAGATGTTTGTAGTTGAGATGTTTGTAGTTGAGATGTTTGTAGATGAGATGTTTGTAGATGAGATGTTTGTAGTTGAAATATTTGTAGATGAGATGTTTGTAGATGAGATGTTTGTAGTTGAGATATTTGTAGATGAGATATTTGTAGATGAGATGTTTGTAGTTGAGATGTTTGTAGATGAGATGTTTGTAGATGAGATGTTTGTAGAGATGTTTGTAGATGAGTAGATGAGATGTTTGTAGATGATGTTTGTAGATGTTTGTAGATGAGATGTTTGTAGATGAGATGTTTGTAGATGAGATGTTTGTAGTTGAGATGTTTGTAGATGAGATGTTTGTAGATGAGATGTTTGTAGATGAGATGTTTGTAGTTGAGATGTTTGTAGATGAGATGTTTGTAGATGAGATTTTTGTAGATGAGATGTTTGTAGATGAGATGTTTGTAGTTGAGATGTTTGTAGATGAGATGTTTGTAGATGAGATTTTTGTAGATGAGATGTTTGTAGATGAGATGTTTGTAGTTGAGATGTTTGTAGATGAGATGTTTGTAGATGAGATTTTTTTAGATGAGATGTTTGTAGATGAGATGTTTGTAGATGAGATGTTTGTAGTTGAGATGTTTGTAGATGAGATGTTTGTAGATGAGATGTTTGTAGATGAGATGTTTGTAGATGAGATGTTTGTAGATGAGATATTTGTAGATGAGATGTTTGTAGATGAGATGTTTGTAGATGAGATATTTGTAGATGAGATGTTTGTAGCTGTGATGATTGTAGCTGATAATTACCCAGTGACTCTTCTCCGTCTTTACGCCTGTTTTCTACAATTTCCAGCAACTGCTCTGCAGCCTGACTCACTGACATGAATCTCGGAGGTTCAAATATCTTTCTTCCTCTGTGTAATGGTAAAACAGAAAATATAAGTTTTTGCAACAGAATTTACAAGAAAGCTGAGTCATTAGGGGTCATTAGGGGTCCTACTATGGAAAGTGGTGGTGAAAACAATAAAATCATTTACAGAATATTCAAATAAGAAGTAATGTTGATGAAAGTCATCTATGAAAGTTATACATGTTCAGTTTATTGTCTAAACAATGGGATATTTTTTTATCATCTATAGAAAAATTGTCAATATCTGAACAGTAAAGACAAGCAAATTAAAGCAGTTGTCCCCTGTTTAAGGACAGAAGTTTTCAATCTAAATCAAATTAGATCCTTTACACTCCTTGTATTTTGTTATATCACTGTAAGGATCTCCTTACAGTGACATAACAAAATACAAGGAGCGTAAAGGATCTAATTTGAATTAGATTGAGAAGTTTTATTTGAGATATTGGCCAGAAACTATTCATAGCAATATGCAAGTCTGTAAACTTGACCTTTGACATTCTAACCTGAGAATCAATTAGGGTCAAGTTTATACCAGGTATGAATTTGGTGACCTTGATCTTTAATCTGTTGACATCAAAATCACTACTGATCTTCTTAAAGTTAGAGAACAAAAGCTAAAGAATGTAAAGAATTTTTTTATTATTAAAATTTGAATCTAAAATACTTACTTCATTAAATTTTCTATGGTTTGTTCTTTCATCTTAATATCTGAAAATAATTTTATTGAATGAAAACTGAAAACTGAGTGATATATATTTTATAAGGAGAGACACTTGTCTAATTGTGGTCGTGTTTTGTGCCTTAACTGATTTTTTCTATAATGATAGTAAAAATAATTGATCTACAGTATCATTGGGAGTAATTTAATTCTTACAGGGTACCAGCTAGTAAACCAAAATTGATTTCATAATGTTAAGCAGAAAATTTTTCAAGATACAGACTGATCAATAAACCTTTTAACTGACATGTGCAAAGCAAGATGTCCTACTTTTCAGGCCTAATATTACCTAGTAGCAAAAATTCTTCATGCCCACTCAATGATTTGGGCTAAGCAACAATAACATGTGATATAAAAGCATTTGATCATAGAGTTTCCAAAGATGCTTTGGATGGCAAACAAAATCTGATGATAAATCTTACCTAGTAGGCACAATGTATGCATTTTCCTTTCTGTATTTGACTTAATTTTGTCGTAGTAACTGTCTGGTTTCCAGGTATCAGTCCAAAACACTATGGAAACTGTCTCTCCAAAGTTATAAAGCTAAAAGATAAAACATTTATAATTATGTTCACATATGCATATAATAAAATGAATCCAGGATAAATAATGTTAATACATTAAAATGCATTTTGTGTATAACAATAAAAAGAACATCTCTGCTCTCATAATGTTGAAAAGATAATGATACTGTTTTGAGCAAATGCATCAATACCTGAATCTGTATACATTAGAGGCTCAGAAAATAAACTTGAAGATAAACTTTAATTTAGTTGAATTGATTCACTCACAAACATGTAGTAAGATGTTTGAAGGTAAAACAATTTTTATATGAAAGTAAGAATTATAAATGATAGTTTCATAAGGATTACAGTTCACTTGATCTCTCCACATGAACATCTGAACAGATTTGCATGCATATAATTTTTTTTTATTTTCAGAATCTCTCTCTCTCTCTCTCTCTCTTACCTGTAATCCACAACATCCACAAGCATTCATAATGGAAGCATTGTGTACAACTTTATATTTCAGTCCCTTCTCCTTGGCTCTTAAAACAAGATCTGTGTGTGTTGTAGCTCTACAAAACAGATGATACCTTCAAGTAAAAAATGTAAAAACATCTACCTAGAAAAAAAACAATGCCTTTGAGTCCCCTAAACAACTAGGGGTCTAAGGTCTTTAATGCTCATGTTTCACAATACCAGTACATCTTGGTACACTAACCCAAACGGATCCCCGACTACAAGGAAAGCTATGTCTTCCTCCTCTGCCCCTTGTAATATTTCATCTGAAATAAACTGACCATTGGAAATCACTTCCAATTACAGAAGAATAAAAAATAAGTATATTTATTTTTAGATATTGCTTTTGGTCATTTTGGGTGATGTATACATGTATACCTAGCCCACATTGCTATCTCTTGAACTTAGAATTTAAGAGACATGGATCACAATGCTCACCTGAGTAACTATGGCCAATCTTTTTTACCAGATTCTTTTTCCAAAATATTCATAAGTAATCTTTAATCACTCACTGAACCACATTTTACTCTTGGGGTCATGTTGTGAACAAACTTGAATCTACACTACTTTAGGATGCTTCCATACAAATATGACTTAAATTGGGTTGAAAAGAGAATTGTTATATCCTATCCTACCAATGATTTGAACAAACTTGAATATGTAATGCCTGTGTATGCCTCCATGTTTAGTTCATAGTTTTGTTGGTTTTGAGAAAGTAAGAAGGTTTTCACATAAGTTTCATCTTATATGGCCCACGGGTTCTTCAGCAGATTTTTAAATATTAACACCCATTTTTTGCTTTTACTTAATTATCTCCCCTTGGAGGAGGATGTGGCCCTTCTTTTGAAAGAACTTGAATCCCCTTCACCAAGGATATTCTGTGCCAAGTTCAGTTTAAATTGGCTCAATGGTTCTCAACAAGCTATATTAGTGTTTCTCGTAACAAGCTAGATGACAGAAGAAAAAGTTCACGACGACAATATTGTCAAATTTTGATCAGAAGAACTGACTGATCCAGCCTTGGGCTCGATTGAGTTTTAATCAGTATGACAAGGAAAATTAAACCTGAATTTGTTTCCACCATATCTCGATCAGCCAAAATCACCTCTCTCCCATAAAATTCTTCCTGTAAAAGCATTTATTTGTTAAAAATATTCAATATTTTTGTTTAATAAAGGATTGATAGATATAATCAGGGACATATATATACTAGTGTAGAATATAGGTCTCTGATATAATGCCTTGCATACAGACACAAATAATTCCGTATTTAGAGATATAACTTTTTGCTAACCATAAAACTGTGAAGTATACTTTTTTACCAGTCAGCTGACAAACTGTAATCATACCAAAGCGTCTTTTCCAACCGTCAATATTGATGTGTATGCCTCTAGATACACTCTTTTACAATTTTTGACTACTTCTAGGCCTTTTACTGTGATGTCCTTTGCATCTCCTAACCCAAGACCAACTAGATACAACATTTTAACACAGCACGTGTCAACTTCTCAGAATGTAAACAGATCAATCCGGAAGTCGTTTCATTTAGTGAAACGCTTTTTCATTGGACGAATTCTCAAGAAACAACTAATCAAAATTATCGTCTCAAAAAGTAATCCTCATACATGATTCAGCTCAGCTGGACAAAACATTGGTAACATTCTAGAACTTGTCATAATTGGAGAAACCAAAGAAATTGATCACCATAATGTATAGTTTTGAGGGAGATTTTCGAAGAAAACCCATTCAGTCTTTGAGAGGAGCCAGTAAAAAGGTAATTTGAATAAAAACTTTAAAATCGACTTAAGAAATCCCAAAGGTAATGTCAGTTTTTGTTCCGTTGTGATTATATTTAGGATAAGGTTTACACCATGTACATTGTGTATATATACATTTTCAGTCTTTAATAATTGATTCATTGGTTATTTATTAACTCCCAGCACATTTGCCAATGAAAAAAAAACCCTTTTAATGTAAACATGCGTAATTAAAAGCACAGTCGTTTCTTGGTGTGCTAGCAAAAATGTTCTTGTTCAGAGATATAAATTAAGATATTTTATCAACTGAAGCTCTTACAGATTGTTTACCAAATATACATTAGAATTAATAAATGAGGTGATAATTTCAATATGCACACCTGGCACCAAATCCCACCATGCTAAATTTTGGTCAAGATCTCTTTGTTGATTAAGTAATAGATAAAAAAAATAAACTGTACAATAATCTTTAAAAAATGTATGTTCTTTTACCCTAAAATACATTAACCCTTTTAATGTAATTCTAATTCTGTTTGCCATGAGTTCGCTCTATACTCTATAATAACTTGTTTGTCCGAAGTCTGTTGGCTCTAAAACTCTGCTGCTCAAAGTCTGTTTGCCCTTAATATGTTAGTCCTTTCATTTGATAATGAAATGTACATCAATTTTATAGTAATAATTAACAACTGTATTGCAGGAGCAGACAGATTCATTACTCACCAGGACCAAAGTAGAAAGAGAGAAGAGAGAGGTAAATTGTTTTATCCCGCTTCAGACAAATTTGTCGATTACTGACTGGATAAAAGCTAATCACATGACGCCCTCAAATTTTCCGTATTACATCTCCGTTTCCATATTACGTCTCCGTCAAGGCGTAATATCAAAATCGGGCAAGCGATTCCGTTCGAAGCGCTGTTATTATAAATAAAAATGGCAGCTAAGAAACGGTTTGCGTA